CTTATTTGTAATTGGGAACCTTGCTGACACTCGCTTACATTTTCTTGCTTTCATTTACTGGCAATATTCAGAAGTTGCTAGTTCAGAAAAGAGCTGAGTAGAGGAGAAGGATTTAAAGGCAGTCTCCTCCTTCGAAGCAATCTGAAGCCTTTCATGACCAGGGAATATGTGCCAAAGGAGAAACCACTTTTTTTTCCCCTCCCAACCGTTACAGCCATCCTGACTGTGATAATCAGCTGTAAAAGATCAATACAAATTCCAAGGTTCGTGTGGTTTCTTCAGACTGCTAGAAAGAGTACCGTAAGATCATACCACAGAAAAGCAGCTGTACTGCAACTACACAAATGAGAAATGTGTGGCTGTCTTGTTAAAAAGAAAAAAAAAACCCAAAACCAGATAGTATAGCCAACATGAGATGTACTTAGATAAAAATCTCAATCATTAAGAATCTCTGGCTGAATACTATATATGCATTAAACACAGGATTTATTTCAGAGACTAATGGGATTCAGGAATCAGCAAATCTAAATCTCATCTTGAGCCCAAATCTGAATTTCATCTCATACTTTCCACTGCTGCCACTGGAGGAATCAGCAAAAAACTGGATACTATTTGCAGGTGTAATTTTTGAAGAGAATTTTTTTTTTATTCCTACAGAAATGGACAATATTTGCCATGCGGTTCTGCCTTTGTGAAAGAAACAAGACCACCATGTTTCAAATTGAAAGATCTAGAGTTGTTGTTTTGGGCAGGGATTATACAGGAAGCAGTGGGGGACTGGAGTCCCATTCTACCTTCATTTCTGGGTGCATCTTTGGCAATTTAAATGAAAACAGCATATATCATAGGGCTGTCCACAAAGAAAAAACCTGGATAATTTTCAAAAGTGAATGTGAAATGCATAGTGCCAAACATTACACAGCATTTTTAAAAATGCACTGAAATTATACTTTCCCAAATTCCCAACTGTATCAAACTCTTTCAATATTCCTGCTCCCAAAAGTAATAAAAAGCAAAGAATACTGAACAATGGGACAGTCCTGAAGTGTAAAGTATTTCAATAGCCTCCCACAAAGCATTTAGCTTCTACAAATGAGGCCATTTCTTTACAACTAGATAAACGCTTTTCTACAATATAAGGTTAAATTCATATACACCCACACATGTGGTCCTTGTTATCAAATAACCCATTAATTATGGTTATATAGTAAGTACAGACAAATCTTATTATCCACAGTAAAGAGTAACACAGATCCTTGTTTTTAGGTAGATTATTCTGTTTGGAGAATTTGGGCAAGTGTTTTGTGTATTTTATGTGTGCACAAAGTGGCAGATGGGCTTTAGTACATGTGTTTTTTTCTAAGTCTTGTTATCCACAGTTATTCACCCTTTAAGGCAAGATGCTGCCTTAAAATAATAGGATGATAGAATATAATATAAAATACAGAACTCAGGAGAACATTTAGTCTGACCTCCTGCCCAGAGCAGGAATTAGCACTATGGCATCCCCTTACAACCAAAATCTACTTCTTTGTAATTTAAACCCAGTGAGACTAATTCTACCCCATCCTCTACATGACAGCCCTTTTGATACACGAAGACAGCTCTCATGCCTCCCTGCTGCCTTCTTTTTTCTGGGGCTGAATACAGCCAATGTCTCCAATGGTTCCTCATAGATTTTCCTTCCATGCCCCTTGTCATCTTAAGTTGTACTTCTCTGGACATGCTTAAATTTGTCAATGTCCTTCCTAAAACGCAGTGCCCCAAACTGGATGCAATATTTTAGGGGTAGTCTGACCAATACAAAATTGAGAGGAACAACGTTTTATCTTGCTTTTGTCACTGCATCTGTTGATGCAGACTAGGATTGCAATTGCTTTTTTGCAACAGCATCACATTGTTAATTCACATTCAGCTTGTGACACACCAAGACAGCAAGATTAATTTTTTGCATATACTCTGCCTAGTATACCCCCCCCCCCAATTCTACACTCATGCCTTTGATTTTCTCTACCAGTTGTCCCTGTTGATATTCATCTTGCCGGTTTCTGCTCATTGTTCCAACTTGTCAAGATCTTTCTTAATCTTGTTACTGTCCTCTACAGCATTTGCTTTCCCCCCATCTTTCTGACATATGCAAATTTGATAATCCTATTTTCTAACTCCTTCAATTCATTTATAAATAGGCTGAACTGCATATACTTTTCCTACCCTTATCAGCAGCAGTTCTTTAGTGGTCTTTCCTTCTTCTCCTAGAGATGCATGCGTTCTACTACTAAGCTACTCATTCAGCCACCAACACTACTAAGGCGACCTGATTCAATTAAAACCTTTTATAATAAAGATAGTGCATATGATTCTTTATGCAACAGCCTAAAAAAGATTACCTTCAGTTGTGATATCCTCCAAACAAGAATACCAAAAACCAGTAACTTGTGTAACTATGCCACACTCGCTTAACATAATCTCATATAAAGAAATGAGGGAAAAAAGAAATTTAATATGGAAAGTGCCATGTTCATTTTGTCTGTGACTCTAGAAACATATGACCTGTTGTTTACTGAAGCAAAATATGTGAAGCAAAAATGAACCATTAATTTTCACCAGTCCACTATTTCTTCTACAAAATACAGAGACAGCTATTGAGATTTTCCAACTTGTATCTAATAAATTATTCAGAAGCTTGATCTCAACTCTGTAAAGAAAGCCATATGGAAGACACACAAAATTGTGGTCATATAAAACAGACCAACATCTGACCTCAGTTATGATCATATATAACCCTGACAAGGGAGAACATTGTCTTGCGTATATTTAATATGCAAGGTAAACACTGACCAGATTTGGCAGACAAGCAGATATAAACCCTGCTGCCTTAAGCAAGTTTACTAATCTAATCAGCAAAAAGCCAACATTTCAAATACAGTATTCTTTCTGGTTATACACCCAGTGAGCTGGAAAGAGGGGAGTACACAACAGATCAATAAATTAACACAGTAAGAATCTAATTAGGAGATAACTGTTGCTGTTCAATACTTTCAATGCATTAGAATAGTGATTCATATTCACAGTATTGTCTAAATTAGAGAAACTTCTATGTACTTTTGAAAATTAATCCTACTACTGAACACATGGGAATACCAGGAGAAGAATACAGAATAGTTCCAGCTGCATAAGTAGATCACGCTGATCACTGCTGCAGACAGTTATGAGCTCTAACAACAAGATCTAACAATTTAAAACAAAAAGCAAACACACTTGCCATGTCAAAAGAAAACAGAAAAAAGAAATCACAATTGAGCCAGAAAAGAAGCTTACATTCAAATCAAGTTAGCTCTGAAAGGCAGATAAAAAATTATTTCAAATTGATTTTAAAAGAACATTAAGAGCTTAGCTGCAAAGTTTGCACCAGCCTATTTAGATGAAATAGTAATATTACTTATTTGGAAAGCCTTCAAAAAACCATTTCTTCTCTAGGCCATTTATCCTGGCACTCTGGTGCTCCTGTTTTCACCAAGGAACTGAGAAGAAAGTGCAAACATTGGCTGATACATTGAGCATACTTAATTACAAGAACGATGAGATTTTGAAGGTGCCATACATTAACTGGATTTAACCTGAGATTTTAAATATCTATCATAAATCCTTCTGATCCACCAGAAATGCAACTTAAATATGGAAGCCCAAATAGTGGGTCCAATTCCACTTTACACTGGAATAACACAAGGTTTTTCCAAGATAATTGTGAGAAAATTATGAAAGCAAAACGAATAAAAGAACAAAAGATAAAATCCAGTACCAATTTATATGGGAGTAAACCTCAATGAACTCCACAAGATTTATTTCTGGCTACACAAGAAATTAAGAAAAAAATTCTTTTTTTCATTTAGCATGGGAAAAAAAATCCATTTCCTCCTCATAAACATGAGACAGAATAATCTTATTTGCCCTGGTGTCAAATGAAAGAAATCTGCACCAGTTACATTAACAACCAGATCTTGTATTGTGAATTCTAAAGGGAGAGGATCAGATTGCCACCTACAGGTATATTTAGTTTCTCTCTCCCCTCCTCCCTTTTAGAGTTTCCTTGAGGAAGTACATGAACAATGTAAAACAGCTGAGACATTACAGAAAACATTTTTTAAATGAGTCTTATAGTCCATCTATACTAGAACGTCATCTAACAATTGCAATAGAACACAGATCATCTTTTCTCATAAATAAAGCTGACACAGGACTTATTCCCACATAGGCATATATATCGGTTGAGTCACAAATGAATGTATATAGTAGGCTGATTTCACAGAAAACATTATGAGTTGTCAGCTGGGTTGATGTCATATGCTGTTTCTTGCTGTTGTTGGACTGCACTTCTGTTTCACACATCTGAGTAATCACTTTATATTACAGTAATTAAACAATGAGAAGGAATATGCATTCATCCAGGCTATAGATTTTTAAATAGTCAAGTACTGATATCAGACCAATAAATTTATATTACAACCCTGTATGTTTCTGCTCCAAGTCTTATAATAACAATAACAAAAGCAATATAGAACAATAATAATATAATGACAAAAACAACAGGGTTTAGTCTACAGCAGTGTTTCTCAAGCTTGGCAAGTCTAAGATGTGTGGACTTCAACTCCCAGAATGCATGCTGGCTGGGGAATTCTGGGAACTGAAGTCCACACATCTTAAACTTGCCAAGATTGAGAAACACTGGTCTACAGGTTTACAGCTTTGGCCTAAACTTATTTGCCTAAACCACATCCTACAAAATGGGCCTTGTTTCTGATTAAACCTGCATTAGATCAAATTGCAGACTTAATAGCAGAGTAAGTTGATATGTTTTCTTTGGCATCTTGATTATAACTTTTTCATTCCAACTACAGAACCAGTCTTATTAAAGATACAAAACCATAGGAAATGGATTGCTCCTTTTAAAATGGTGAATTCTGGCCACCCACAATTCTATAGAAGAAACATAATCCATTTACCTGATACAATTGGTGCTAGCCTGAATATGTCCGTTAACCTGCTGTTCACTGGTTCATAAGGTGATTCTTCAAGCAAATCATTTCCTAAAAACAAGTTAAAAATGTTTTTTTTTCTTTCATGCTTGTTAAAACATTTTCTGAAACTTCAACAATCATAGGATCTCCAGACTATTCCCAGCAACAAACATGACAGTGCAACCAACTCCTACTTATTTCCACCTCTATTTGGCCTCCCGTCCACCATGTTATCTTCTTCAACCTTTTGTCTTTGGGTAAGAATCCTACAGAAGCTTCAACTGAAGCAATTTTAACTCTTTCTCTTTCATACTTGTAGCTGTTAAGATAGCAAAACAAACTTCAAAGATTCATTATTATGTCCATTACTTTATAATAAGAGGATGGAACATTATGTATGATGCCTTAAGTCATACAAAATAAAGTGGGATAGAAATCAAATAAATAAATACTAAGAGAAGGCAGTTTAAAAATGGGAGGGGATGTTATGTTTATAGTATCCATTTTATAGAGATGTTAGAGAAAAACAGTACTTTGTTATCAACTTTTCCTGTAAACTAAATAAACCAATCATGTGGAACAAGTATCTTTCTTAGAGCAATACATAGTGGGCGTCAGAAAACTAAGGAAAAAACATATCCATATATCTATGGGGATGTATTTCTTTAGAGTAATTCATTACTCAAAAAATCTTAAATTTGAAATCCTGTGGGAAATGTATAGGTTTTTGCAGAATGCTGTAGGAAAATTAACCTGTTTTAAAGGTGAAATATGATGCAGCAGCTGTCCTCATCCTGGGACATGAACCACACCTTTCTGTTGGACGCAATGGAGATTATAGTCTTGGGCCACTTGCTTTCTCTCAACCTACCTTATCATGTGATGCCATAACCACTGCCTTGAGCTACTTAGGGGAAAAGCAGAATATAAGATATAAAAATGCATACACACACCAGGATGAAAGGCCCCAGTAAAGTTGTGTAAGCTATAGTCAATAATCCAAAGTTAAACTATTTGGTGTTGCACTAACTAAAATATTGATTCAACTAAGCATATCACAACAGTAGCAAAGCTGAACTTTAAACTCTCAACCAAGAGCCATGTTCTAGTGATTCCTATTGCATCAGGGATCAATAATTTTAATTTTTTCATTAGTCTGATGTTAGCATGTTATTAAGGAAACTTTCCCAAAGCATCTACCTACTCCCACACCATAGAAAGGATGTTGCTGTATATAATGCCTGGGTAGTTTGGTTAGGGGAGGTATGACTCCAATTTGACCTAATGGGTGAGGAATGGCCCCTGTGATGTCCTGTGGTTGGATCTCATTAATGAGTGCTGATGGTCCTTCATGGAGGGAGGGGAACTTCCTAACTCAACTGCTTTGTAGATCTGTACTCCTTAATCCCTTCTCTTTTGACTTTGGTTTACAAAGGTCAGATGAGTCCCCCCTGGGGAAAATCTTTTAGTTTGCATTTTCAACAATAGGAAACTGCAGCAGCAACAGCTGCTCTAGCTGGGTGGCACCAGTGGTCCTCCCTCTGCAGCCAAAGAACACAAAAAGAATTACAAGGTCAGCTGGTGGAGGACCTGGGGGGCAGAGGATATTCCTTCCTAGCAATGGGGAAGAAGGCAGGAAAGGATTTTGTGTATGACAACCACATACCCTGTAAGCTTTGGTACATGCTCCAGTAAATACGCAGGCAGTTTTTCTCCTTTTTCATGCCTCTTTTGCAGCGGCAATTATAGAGGGATTTCTGCTTGAGAGCCTCCATGGCGCTTTTGCACTCATCCTTCGCCTCCAGGCCTGCTGCCCGGCTGAAGTTGCTCTCTTTGCCAGCTACACACTGCCTCAGTGTCCTGTATTTAGTGCTGCAGCCCTGCTCCCTGAGACACTGGTCGCTGGCTTTCACACAATCCAGATGGTCTCCTCCAAGCAGCCCACTCACTTCAACGGAGAAGAGTATTTCTGCATTCAAAGAGAGCAAAAGAAAACCTGTCAACCTTGTGAGGCTGCTTGAATAGAGAGGTCAGTCCAAGAGAACTTACACAGAACTATAATTATCACATGGATCCAATGGGAGAGAGGCAGGGAGAGCTTTGTTTTGGCTGCTTTTCTCAGGAGAGCAAGGGCACCAAAGAGAACTTTGCAAATGGAAGGCTAACTTCTCTCCCTCCTCAGGAAATTCTTTTAAATTGAATGCTTAAACAACCCAATTGCCAAATCAATGTATCAGCTATGCAGAAGAAAGTCAGTTCACCCATTATTCCCATTTTACAGCCAGTTTTTTCTCAGCCAAAGAATTCAGGAAGATTCTTTTTCTTAGGAAAACCCATATTTACTGAGGTTAACTTTCAAAGTAGAGGAGCTGTCCCCTTCATGCTCTAACAACAGCATCAGGGGGTTAAATACTCATTTGCACATTTGTTGTGATTTTAACTTCAGTTAGAAAAAAGGTCCAATGAGAGCAATATTTTTAAGTATCCAAGAAACCTTAGCACCTCTTTTTAAAAAAGCTAGGCTTCTGATGTCTTCCACTGGAAAGGTTTAAAAACTAGCAGGTTTTATTCTCATTTTCCTCTCCCTCTGGACAGAGTTCTTTGCATAACCAAAATAGTCATCTTTTAATTCTCTATTTCCTTTCCAATAAAAACAAACTGGCATGCCTGCACTCCTACACACCCCACACCCCGTATCTTTTTGCAAACCACTGGAGATTTGAAGTACACATCCTTTTTACTGCCCCAGTTCAGAACAGGCAGGATGCAACTATACGTTTTATAATGAATATCCCCACTTTCCTTCTTATACAGATGAATTTATTGGAAAGTTTTACTTCCAACTTGCTGAAGCCCAGTTTAAAAGCAAAAGACAGCATCTTCTGCTAACAGCACCATCCTGTGTAACTTCTACTCAGAAGTAATCCCAACTAAATTCCAATGAGACCTCCAGCCAAGTAACCATGCACTGAATTACAGCCTAAATCCCACCTCCGTGCTGCAAATATTGGTATAAAATTGACAGAGAACTTAACAGTGCCTTTCAAAGAGCAGACGGACAATTGGCAATCAGCTACTCCTTGGATCTCACAAATCCAAAAACGGTTGAGGGCAGCCATGTATCAAAGACTTAACGCACCGGGCACTTACCCATTAAGGGCAACACGAAGTAGAGGGTGGCCAGTGGCATCTTGCTCCTCGACAAATCCTTCTCCCCAGTGAACTTGCGTCTGTCGCTCCAGAAGGCGATCTCAGCACCTAGATATTCCAAACCAGCAGGGTTCCAAAGCCCCCAAGTTCATATCCATTGAATTTACAAGGGGGGGGGGGGTAGAAGAAATCCCCACCCTATCCTCCTCTCTCTTCCGTCCACCGGGAGTAATAGCAAGAGCAGCTGCTCTGCAAAAGGAGGGGGAGAGAAGAAAGGCGAAGATTTCTCACACGGAGGAGCTTACATCCCAGTATCCCGGAAAACAGAAGGGTCGATTTCTCAATAAGCGAGAGAGAACGAGAGCGAGCGTTTCACACTTCAAGCGCGCGAGCGCAATCCGGAGCTGGAGCTTTCCCAGGCTTTTCGGGGGGGGCAATTTCTCCCCCAGGAGGAACTCCAAGAAAGCGGCGAAGCGGAGGAGGAGGGAAGAAAGGGACAGTGATCCAGACGCTCGTTCCCCAGTCCTGCTGCCAAGCGCACAACCGTCCGCGCAACCCGCCGCCGGTCTCCTTTACAGCTGCCTCCAAGTCACCGTGGTGTCTGCGTGAGACCCAGGGTTAGCCCAATTGCTCCCTCTCCCTTTTCTAGAGGGTCTTCACACCTCCCCAAACCTGCAGCCTTTCAGGATTTGCGTTTAGTTAGCTTGGTCCGAGCTCGATTATCGGAGAAAGGCACTAGAAGAGCTGCTGGCCCCAGCGAAGCCTCCGAAGCAAAGCCTTTTTGTAGCGCCGTCGACGTCCTTGACGAGCTCGAGTCGCCCCCTCTATTGGAGGAAGAGGCACGCGCAGCGAGCCAAGCGGACGGGGCTCTTGATCCCGCACGAGAAAGCCTGCCAGCAGGTGCAGCTCTTGCGCGGCCAAGCCCGCGCTCCTCCGCCCAACTTGCCCGGGAGTAAGCCCCACTGGACTTACGGGGCAGGGTTGGAGAAGGCAAGGCCGAGCGGTACCTCTCGCCCCCTTCCCGACCCGCAAAAGTTTTCCTCCGCTCGGTCTGATTTCAGCCCGTCGCCATCCAAAGCAAGAAGCCACGTAGAGGGATTCCTTCAGGAGTGGACGTGGGTACCTACCCGCTTTGTACCCACCCGCGACGACGGCAAAGCCTATGGGATGGGGGGGAGAGGGGATATCGCTCAGAAAGAACGGGGTTTTTCGCCAGTGAAAACCAGACGAGAGAGAGATCAATCGACCTTTAGTCATGAGCCAAAGTAGTTGCAGGTTTGGAGAAGTTGGATCCTTCTCAGGGAACTGCCTCGCTTCTCCTCGACACCCGCCCTTGTCTAGACCCTTCCCAGCAGCGAGCGCTTTTGAGGGAAGGCCCCTCCCTTTCGCTGTTTGCGACTGAGCGCGTCCTCTCCCTGCCCCTGTTTGTCAAGGAAAGAAACTTTCAGGCGCCTTTCCCAGGGACGGCCTGCGCGCGCTTCCAGGTGCGCACGAGCGCAAAACAGCCAATCTTGGTGAAAAACCCCTTGGCCCGCACTGCTGACAGCGAGAGAGGAGGGGCAGGCGCGGGGCTCGGTATTCTCGAGGCTGGAGCTATTTCAAAGGTAATCCCCCACCAGCTCCTATTGACTGTTGCTCTCAAGTATTGGATAAATGTCACAGGCAGTTAAACTATCCATTCAAGAGAAGAGGCACGCATAGCCTTTAATCTTACGAATTATATCATCGTAAACTATTAGGGATAGGGTTCTTAACTGCAGGTAGCTGTAGCAGACCTTTTTCGAATTTCCAAAACATTGATAGCAGAAGGGAACCGAGAAAGCAAGCGAATACCTTTTATGAAAGTGGAAGGGAACACACCCACCACCATCACATCTCTTTTTTCATATCCCATGTTTAGTGATTAGGAGCAGAGTGGCACCGTTTTTGCAAGGCTGCAACCTTAAACACATTAATTTAATTAGCCTTCCCGACCAGATGGCTTCTAATTGTGTTATTTAAATTCCCATAACCCCAGCCACCATTGCCCTTAATATCCAACAAATCCAACAGAACAACAAGGTAGGAGATAATGAATTAAGGAGTTGGTCCTACTGAGCATAGTGGAATTTCCTTCTGAATTCCATAGAGTTGATTGTAAAACACATCAAGTGAACAAAGCTGGATGACTATAACTGCATAATCTTTCTATTGTTGGGTATGTGTATGGAAAGTGGGTGGAATGTGTGTGGAAAGTGGGTAGAATTTTCTGTTCATGACCATTCCCTTGCAAATTTTATCAGGCTTAGAGATGTGTGTGCAGGCATGTACTTCTTGTATCTATTCAGATACCTCACTAATCACTAAAGCCAAACACTAGTTCAGTGTATCAATTTACACTTCACTCCTGAATAAACAAATCAAACATATGTCACACTTTCATGACAGATGGCTCTAGCAGCGAACTGTCAGCTATTTTCACACAGTTTCTACTTATATAGAGAATCCCCCTCCCCAAAAAATATCTCCAAAACCTAAGAAAAATGCAAATTAGACTAAAAAATACCAGGTTTTATCTCTCTGTACACATACAACAAAACTCAACTTAGCTTCTCAATATTTACAGATCTTTTGACATTTACCAAGGAGCAGGAAGAACAAGTCAAGCCTACAAACATCCTGGGAAATAAGGGGGAAAAAAGTCTTAGGTACATTTCTCAGAAGGTGTACAGTGTTCAGGGGGATTTACTCCCACATGTGTCAGTATGGCTTGCAACTGATCAATGTCCTCATTTTACTCAGATATTAATCCCCTTGAGTCCAATCCAGTTTTCCCCCTGGAAAGCAAATTTTGGATTCTGTCCTAAATTGATTAGCAGAAAATGAATGCTAAAGGATAACTAGATGGCAAGGCGATGGTACCTTTGACATGAAAAAGCAGACACACGCACAATCAGGCAATATGTTATTTCTCATGTATGAGAGCAAAAGCTAAAAGATGCTTGGGCTGCAACCAAAGTAGATGGTCCACAACATTTCTTTGCTATTGCCTCTGGTGCCAATGTAGATTATTTAATGCCGGGAAACCCCAGATATGCAGGGACTTCAGACTCAGCATAGGCACTCTGCTCTCCAACAGTCTTTGATTTTAGTTGTCATTGGCTAATTGTCTCTCATCCTCTTAGCTGAGAAGTTGGAGGAAGCTGAACTAATCTGACAAACTCAGCAGCATGATCGGGTTGTCCATATTATTTTCCATTCTACCACAGAACTGTGCTTCACTGGAAGAGATTGTGGCAGAGCACTTCTAAGAAGTCCCCCGTTCAAGCTTTGGCTATCCAATAAGTGAAAGTATCAAATCAAAGAACTGTTATGGTCCGCATAACTGTAATTGTATGTATGTGCCTTCAAGTCAGTGTTGATTCCTGGTAACTACCTGAGCAAGTCCCTGCAGTTTTCCTGGCAAAGTTTTTCAGAAGTGGTTTGCCATTGCCTCCTTCCTAGGGCTGAGAGAGAGGGACTGGCCAAAGGTCACCCAGCTGGCTTCATGTTTAAGATGGGACTAGAACTCAGAATCTCCCAGTTTCTAGCCTACACCAAACTAGCTCTTAATAATTAATTATTATGTAATCAGCTAAATATAAAATGGAAGATTAATTGTGATCACAGTAATTTATTATGTTTCCAAATGCCAATTTACTGATTATATGAATCCCATTTTCCTTGCTTCAACTCAGGATGGCATGCATGAAGATATTTCATTTTTATCCTCACAAAATAACATAGGTTAAAGGGGAAGATTAGTGATAAGAACAATGTTGCCCTTTGGGATTTATGGCTGAGCAGAGTTTGTTCTGTACTCTACTCCAGATCCAACTCTCCTATATTTCACTGGTTTATGGTACAATGAAAGCTTGAAGTCTGTTGATTCGGCTGGATTCAGGCATGCTTAACTTTTCTGACTTTTGCCCATATACAGATTGGAGCATTTAAAACAAAATTTGGTATTGCAGTGCTATTTCTTCAGTGGGACTTACACCTCTATCAAAATATATTAGGTAAGTGGAATTTACTTCTATGGAATATCACCATAAGAATATTAAGTCCAAAAATCCATTTACTGGAAACAATGTCTTTAACATTTCAGTGTGTCCATGTTTTTTAAATATTAATTACATGTAGACCCAAACTGCCCTTGCAGAAGTTTTCAAATAAAACCTGTGTGATGTGATTTGGCAACGCTTGAATGATATGGTTTTTATTTTTTTACAAGTATAAATAGAACATATTTATCTCCATATATTTAATAGGGCTTATATAAGCAGTGTAAAGCTCTTCTCTCACTGCACAAATGTAGTATTAATCGAGGAATGGCATTTTCTAAAGAATCACCATATGAAAAAACATCACAGAAAGGTTAAATAACTTCATATTAAAACAGAAAACTGATATTCAGCTATCATAGAATGAAGAATTAAGATATAAGCTCTACAAAAAAATCTGAAAGCCAGTTTGTTTTATTTTTCTTTTAAATCAAGATAGGCAGAAGAATTATATGAAATCTTCATTCATATATAATTAATGCCATGCATTCACAGCTGAACAGCATATTAATCCTAAAGAGTACTCTGTACAGAGCAAGAAATCTGTGTTTTCCTTCTTCTAAGTTAGTTGGGATGTCTTTGGTCATGTCTAACTAGAAGATAACATCTCAGTATATTGAACTAAATATTTTCCTATAGACATATGTCTCAATACTTTGTAATAAATGTCCAGCCATTTTTTCTTCCATGTTTGAATCTTTTAACTCCTTTGCAAAGGCTAGAAGTTACAACTGCACAAAGGCAAAAGGCATCAGAAGAGCACATTCAGGACAAGGGGAAAAAAAGGAAAAAGAAAAAAAGACAGAGATGAGATAGAAGAGCACTAGGACAGCAGCTGAGAAAGAACCTACAACACTGTGACGTTAGTCCAAACAAATACTTATGCACCTCCACAAAAAAAACAACAACAACCCAAGATAGTATTCCTGCTTGTAACTGGTTATTTCTGTTGTATCACATCAAGCAATCCTGATCTCATTTAAACCAGAAGCATAGAGGGAGGAGGTGTTTCCAGCCATCTTTAAAGAGGCGCTGGGGCATCTCCTTCTCAAGAAATCATTGCTAGATCCCACCATATTGGACAATTTTCATCCAGTCTCCCACCTCCCCTTTTTAGGGAAGGTGATTGAGAAGGTGGTGGCACTGCAGCTCCAGGGGATCCTGGATGAAACAGATTATCTGGACCCTTTTCAGTCAGGTTTCAGGCCCGGATATGGGACGGAAACAGCATTAGTCGCACTCATGGGTAATCTCTGGCATGAGCAAGATGGGGGTAGCGCATCCATCCTTCCTCTTCTTGAGCTCTCAGCAGCCTTTGATACCATCAACCAAGGTATCCTTTTGGGGCAACTTGGGGAGTTGGGGGTGGGCAACACAGTTTTGCGCTGTTTCACTTCCTTCCTCCAAGGTCGGTCCCAATAGGTGTTGATTGGGAGTGAGAGGACCAGCCCATGGCCCCTCTGTTGTGGGGTACCCCAGGGTTCGGTACTCTTTCTCTTCTTTAACATCTACATGAAACCACTGGGTGAGATCATCCACTATTATGGGATGAGGTATCATCAATATGCTGCCCTCAGCTGCATGGAGGATGATATTCAAGTAAGATTGCCAGTGTTCAGGTAAGATTCAAATGCTAGTCCAGTCAGGCAGTGATATTTTTTGAACTTGCCCTACATGTCTAGGAAGGGAAGGTACATATGATTAAATAGCTGAATGAAGCCATTCATCTTTGCACTTCTTATGAAACATATTACAGCACAAGGGTGTCAGTGTTATATGTTCCCTTCCTTTTTCCTGTGA